CGCAGGCCGCGGCGCACCTGCTGGGCCCGCCGCACCACCCCGGCCTGCCGCCCGAGGCCCACCTGAAGCCCGAGCACCACTACGCCTTCAACCACCCCTTCTCCATCAACAACCTCATGTCGTCGGAGCAGCAGCACCACCACCACCACCACCACCACCAGCCCCACAAAATGGACCTCAAGGCCTACGAACAGGTGATGCACTACCCGGGCTACGGCTCCCCCATGCCGGGGAGCCTGGCCATGGGCCCAATCACGAACAAAGCGGGCCTGGAGGCCTCGCCCCTGGCGGCCGACACCTCCTACTACCAGGGGGTGTACTCCCGGCCCATTATGAACTCCTCCTAAGAGGGCCTCGGCCTGGCTAGCCTGCACAAGGACGGAGAGAGGGCAGGTGGGCTGGAGACCTTGAGGCGGGGTGTTGGAGACACGCGAGGGAGAAGAAATCCAGGCCTCTCCCACCCCCAGGACGGCAGTCTCCCCTGGCCCTCTGCAGCTCTCTCCTCCCCATGGGCCACGCTGATATGTATCATTCTATATAAGGAGGGAAAGGGGGGTAAGGCTAACAGTCAAAAAATGACAAAAGGGAAAAAAGCCCCCCGGGTTCCACTGCTGCGTAGATGCCTGCTTCTCGAAGCACCCTCGAATTCCGAGTTTTGTTGTTTCCCCCATTGCTGTTGTTGCAGGGAAGTCTTACTTTATTTAAAAAAAAACACACATACAAAAAAAAGACAAAAACCCAAAACAAAAAAATCCCACCAACTTTTGTGACTCAGTGTAAAACAATGTAGTTTTAACAAAGAACCAGAGAGTTGTGGTATTGTTTAAAAAGAAGGGGGGAAAAAATGATGTAAGGGTCTGTTGTAAATGACCAAGAAAAAAAAATGCATTCCCGTTCTTGACACAGTGAAATCCAGGTCTCGGGTCGGATTAATTTATGCTTTCTGAGTGTTTTATTTATGGCTTATAAATGTGTGTTCTGGCTGCAAGGACCAGAGTTTCACAAATCTATATTAAAGTGTTATTGCCGGTTTTGTTCCTGGAATCATCAAGATTTGTTTTTTCTTTGCCTGACTTAAAAAATAAACAGGTCTGGAAATTATTTAAAGGTGGAGGGAGGGAAAGCCTGGCTGACTGCAGGTTTGGTTTTATTTTGGGGGTGAGTGGGTTGTTTTACCAACATTTTATTAACATTTCCAGACATACTGAATTTGAATGGACTTTACAGAAAACACGCATGTACCCATTGCCCAGATTTTACAGTTATTCCTCTGTACCTGTTATAGTATCTCCCACCTATCTACATGCCATTGGTCAATTTGGTATTTTAAGGGCATGTCAAAGTCAGTTTCAGACATCAGTGCACTTCCCCTAAACACTGAGACAGGCATGTCATTAACCAGAAATAATGTTGTTTATGGCTACTCTTGGGGGGTTGAGTCTACCGTTACACCCAGTGAAACACACATATCGGCCATTCCCTGGGTTTGACTTCAATCCCGGACCAAACTACAGATGGTGATTTTCCACCTGAGCCGTGTGAGGGTTCAATGTTGCTGACATCTCTTGGGCCCTAACGCAGGCTTTTCTCGGAAGAAGCCTGGCTTTTACGTGTTTCGCTGTATTTCCCACCTTAGCGCCCCCCCCCCCC